CCTAAATTACAGATAACCCCGCCCCAAATTTCTGATAGCTCCACCCTAAATTACTTATAGCTCCGCCCAAAATGACTGATAGTCGCGCCCTAAATCACTAATAGCGCCGCCCTAAATGACTGATAGTCCCACCCTAAATGACTAATAGCTCCACCCTAAAGGACTGATAGCTCCGCCTCAAAGCTTTCCATGTGACCAAAAAAGTTGTTTCGATGGGGGGGATGGCTATAGTATTGAATTTAATACTCTGAGGGCACATTAATTTTTACATAAACATAATAGTACATGAGTTCATGCTGACTAAGGCTGCTGTAAGTTTTTGACTCTTCTGAAGCATAAAAATACTATGATGTGTTTGCAGATATTTAGGAAACATGCTAATTGAACAATTTTATCTGAAAAACAATGCTGAATTCAGTTATTCTTCTTTATGCCATCCCTGCTGGAATATCTGTCTTTGTTTTGGTCTCTATAACCAGCCCGCTGCCAGTTTAACCAGTATATATCAGCACCCCGGGTTGCCTTAAAGTGGAAAACAGCACATAAAGCCTGAACGCTTTTAAAATCCTCATACAGTCAAAAACACATTTAAATGCTGAACTATAATCCAGACTCAGCACTGCATATCCTGCGACGTGTCTATTGCGCATGAGCACATTGCTTTTGACCGATGCTGAAACGAGATATATCGTGCAGCTCTAATTTACAGCATGGTCTCCAGCACATCTTTGGTCTGAGTCAGTTCAGAAGAGCGCAGATCAGCTGTTTGATGAGCGATTGAGCATCTGCCATGACAAAGCAAGTGTTTAAAAGCGCCTTCATTCACACTGTGGTCGTCTGTTGCTCCGGGCTCCCTTTGGAAAAATGCTTGAACTTCTCCTCCTTCTTCTAAGGCAGGTTTTATGGCCCACATTCACTGCTCTGAGTTCAGTAACTCCGTCCCGTGCAGCTGCCAGCTACTAAACTTTAAAGGGGAGCTATTATGCTGAAATCACCTTTATAAGGGGTTTAAACACAGTTGTGTGTCAGCAGTGTGTGAATATCTCCAGCCTCTATATCTCCAGCCTCTAAATTCCAAGCATCAGATGTAAAAAATATATATATATATATATATATATATATATATATATATATATATATATATATATATATATATATATATATATATATATATATATATATATATATATATATATATATATATATATATATATATATATATATATATATATATATATATATATATATATATATATATATATATATATATATATATATATATATATATATATATATATATATACTACTTTGAAGTAAATTTAACCATAGTTATAGTTAATCTGTTGTGGTAATCGCATTACATTGCATGTAGTTGCTATATGCAATGCAATGCAATTACCATAACAAATATAAACAAATCCCCCAATACTGTTGCTTTCAACTGTAGGGTATATTAACCACAATACACCTGTTTACTGTAGTAAAAACTAAAATAAACTACAGTTTTTATTACAGTTCATCAGATTACTTTAGCAAACTGCAGCATTCATTAATATAAAGTTTTACAATTTATTATATATACAGTATAACAGACTTTACTATAGTTTACACTTAAGTATTTTCCAGTAATTACTAATTATTATCAAATATTTTATTATTAAATAAATGATTACTATTATTGTATTTAAATGACTATAAAGCATTTAAATTACATCATACAGAGCTTTTCAGAGTTTCAGAGTGCACTTGTGGTGTTGCATAACTCCTTGCATGCATACTTTGCCGTTTTCAGGGTTTATGTGTACAGTGTCTGCAACACTCTGAGCTTATTTATTATGAAACATTCCCCAAACAGTCTGGGATGCCGTCGATGATCGTATCGTGCTAAAAATAAACTTCTGATAGTCCTGCGCAAACCAGAACAGAAATAACGATTGCAAAAAAAAAAATCCAGTGTGCCAGATAATGAGATGAAAAGAGTTGCTCAGAAACTTTCTGATGCATCATTATATAATGCATAGCGCATAATATGCCACAAACCGTCAGTGCAATCATAAACATCCCCGCCTGATCGCGTGCACTCCAAATAAAGCTGAATTTCGCGCTTTTTTTCCCCCCTGGTGAGTAAGCGTGGTTTCCCCGTGCTCAGCTGCACACATGCGGTCAGATCTCTGCAGATCTAGAAGAGCAGCAGGAGCAGGAGGAGGAGTGAGAGTATATGGAGGCCGGCCCCCTGTGCTGCAAACATATATAAATGACATGCATGCAACCTAGAAGCCCAGAAAACTCTCAGCTTAACCTGGAAAAGTGAAAGAAAACTCAAACTCTGAGTGCATGACAATATATTTGACCAGATTAACTGAACTCAATGCAACTCAAATAGCAGCTCGCATTTAGATTTTTGCATCTAAATATCAGAGATTAAACTTTTTACTATTGATATCAGCACCGAACACCAGCGATATCAACAGTTGAGCATTTCATTTTATCATCTGCTCAGAAGAATACACTTTGGGAAGAATAATGGAGGCTGAGTTTGGACTGAAGAGCAGCAGCATCATGCGGGAATGGAGCGGACAGGTTCAGCCAGCGCTGATAGCATCCTTCATCATCCTCTTCTTCCTCGAGGCCTGTCTGTGGGTCAGAAATCTCACCTTTAAGAAAAGACTCCCAGGCCCCTTCGCTTGGCCTCTGGTGGGCAACGCCATGCAGCTCGGGCAAATGCCACACATCACTTTCTCCAAGCTGGCAAAGAAATACGGAAACGTCTACCAGATCAGACTGGGCTGCAGTGATATCGTGGTTCTGAATGGAGATGCGGCGATAAGGAAGGCACTGGTTCAACACAGCACCGAGTTCGCAGGACGACCCAATTTTGTGTCTTTTCAGATGATTTCCGGCGGGCGAAGTTTAACATTTACAAATTACAGCAAACAGTGGAAGACGCATCGGAAAGTGGCACAGTCTACTTTGAGAGCATTCTCAATGGCGAACAGCCAAACAAGAAAGACTTTTGAGCAACATGTAGTAGGCGAAGCAATGGACTTAGTCCAGAAGTTTCTCAGACTGAGTGCTGATGGACGACACTTCAACCCTGCACATGAAGCCACCGTCGCTGCTGCCAATGTCATCTGCGCTCTGTGTTTTGGAAAGCGCTACGGCCACGATGATCCAGAATTCAGAACTCTTCTAGGAAGAGTGAATAAATTTGGGGAAACCGTTGGCGCTGGAAGCTTAGTAGACGTCATGCCTTGGCTGCAATCTTTTCCCAACCCTGTAAGAAGCGTTTATCAGAACTTCAAAACTATTAATAAGGAGTTCTTCAATTATGTGAAGGACAAAGTCCTCCAGCATAGAGACACTTACGATCCTGATGTAACTCGTGACATGAGTGACGCCATCATTGGCGTAATTGAGCACGGGAAAGAGAGCACGCTGACTAAAGACTTTGTTGAGTCAACGGTCACTGATTTAATTGGTGCAGGGCAAGATACTGTATCAACAGCAATGCAATGGATGCTTCTGCTGCTTGTTAAATATCCATCAATTCAGAGCAAACTTCAAGAGCAGATTGATAAGGTTGTGGGTCGTGACAGACTCCCGTCAATAGAAGATAGATGCAATCTGGCCTATCTGGATGCATTCATCTACGAAACCATGCGCTTCACCAGTTTCGTCCCCGTCACCATCCCGCACTCCACCACCTCAGACGTCACCATTGAAGGTCTCCACATCCCCAAAGACACCGTGGTCTTCATCAACCAATGGTCGGTCAACCACGACCCTCAAAAGTGGAGCGATCCGCACATCTTCAACCCGTCCAGATTCCTGGATGAGAACGGAGCACTGAATAAAGACCTGACCAGCAGCGTGATGATCTTCTCCACAGGTAAGCGGAGGTGCATTGGTGAGCAGATCGCCAAGGTGGAAGTTTTCCTGTTCTCTGCCATCTTGTTGCACCAGTGCAAGTTCGAGAGAGACCCGTCTCAAGATCTCTCCATGGACTGCTCGTATGGTTTAGCACTGAAGCCGCTCCATTACACCATCTCCGCCAAGCTCAGAGGAAAACTATTTGGCTTGGTTTCACCGGCATGAGTTAAAACATCCAGTCGAATGGGGAAATTATTCGCCCTCCTGTGAAATTGTAATTATTTTTTAAATACAGCGATGTTTAACAGAGCCAGGACATTTCCTATGATATATTTTTCTTCTTCAGAAGAAAGTATTTCTTTAAGATTGGCTTTTATTTTTTACATTTCCAACAGAGCAAACCACTGTTGTCCGATCACCTGCATAAATAACCTAGTTAAGCCTTTAAATTGCACTTTAAGCTGACTATGCTAGTATCTTGCTTAATAACTAGTCCAATATTATGTGCTGTCATCAAAGCAAAGACAATTAGTCATAAGAAACGAGCTACTGAAGCTATTATGTTTGAAAGCATCATCTGTGTCATCAGCAATTGGTAAATAAATACTTCCGATTTCACAAGAGGGCTAATCATGAACAAATGTATTCCACATAATAATGAGTATAATAAAGCTGCACTGAATGCTGTCTAGTATATTTAATATTTAATGAGTATTTACACAGTTTATATGTTTATATGCAATGAATTGATTCAACCGCATCCTTGTTGTCAGGTAATTGAAGAGATTCTTCAGCTCTCCCGAACGGGGTTAACAGTAATGTTTTAATTGCTTTTAATGTTTATAAACATCCTCTATGCTTTTAAAATCATGTCGCAATATCAAATGTTTATGGTCAAATGCAAAGCCACTGTCACTGTAGACACATCGGTTATTATGCAACATTATGCAATTGTTTGTAGATGGTGTTGAGTCATGTTAATCGGCAGCAGCTGTTGGAAAGACTTTCACTTCCTATGAGCCTGACTCGGATTTGGAGCAGAAGTGCATTTAATTATGCTTGCATAAAACTGTATAACAATGTGATTATGTACTTCAGGTATTAAAACATTTATACAACTATAAAATATATTCTCTATAAAAAAATGCATTGATGTTCCTAAATGCTGCATGGGTCAATAATTGAATTTTTGTGTGTGTGATCATATTAACCTGATTCAAAACCTAATTTAAAGTGAATCCATGCACAAAAACAATCCTTAATCTCATGTACAAAGCCGGCAGAGTAAATTTAGAGCTAACATTATAAGATATATTCATGCATCACATTGCATTTCTAAAGGTAAATGTTTACACTGAATGTTTTGCAAGCTCAGTGCATGAAGCTTTCTGAAGAAAATCAGTTTTTTTTATGTCTAGGAATGTCTTCTTATTACTATTAAAAAATAAGCTATACGTTGAATAAATAAAGTGATGATTTACAACATGTTTCTTTTCATTTTGGCATGCACAAACACACACAAATAAAATCACACAGCATCTAAACGGCACTATTAATGTACACAAACCGTCTGCATCTGTCTTCATTTGCACGCATTGTCTCTTACTGTTAGCTTTATGGCCAGTGTGCATTAAGTTTCAGAGATATTTCTGCAAAAGCCACATCTTTAAAGTCTAATTATCGTATTAAAATTCTATAACAGTCATTACTCTTAACTACAGCTCATGATGAATACACATTGTTATGGTGCACGTTTAACTTGATTGTTATATCTGCTCTTTGTCTGAGGGATTAAACAAAGTTACAGACTGAATTCCAACCGTGACTCGATTTCACTATAGCATTCATCTGGCATCACATTGTGGGTTTTAAACAAAAATCCTGCCAATTAGAGCAGGCCTAAAGAGCTCATTTACTACGGTAGACAATACATTCTGTAAAAAATAAAATGACTGCATTCTTTGGTTTATGGTTTTATTCAACTTAATGGGGCAAATCAGCACTTTACAGCAAGACATATATACATATATATATATATATATATATATATATATATATATATATATGTTATATAGACAGCAACAGCCATCATTAAAGAGACTTCAAGCTATTTTCATACTCAAAGTACAATACATGAACACACACTGCTCCAAATGTCCATTTAAACAACTTTTCCAAACCTATTTTTTATTTATTAGACATCAAAATAGCCCAACAATCATCTGTATGTGTCATAAATGCTACAGAATTGTTTATTTTCAAATATACATCATACTTTTTCTTAAGATTGAACTCTTAAGCAGGTCGCACACCAGAAGCGACGCTCGGCGGCGCGCCGCGCAGCGCCACGCAGCGCCACGTATTTTAGAATTCTAATCATAGGTTTCTATCAGGATACACACACCGGCGCCGCAAGTCGGCGGCTGTCGGCGGCGCCC